CAATCATGTAAAAAGTTTTCATTAAGTTTAATAAAGATAAGAGCATGGTCTCACCTTTAATATTAAAAAAAAAAAAATAACTATTTCGAAATAAAATAAAATGATTAAGTTTAATAAATACAATTATACTTTAATTAAATTTGATTTTATATAAATTATTTAATCAGATTAATTCTAGTTTATTAATTATAAACTTGATAAAATATTTTTATGTATTAAATATTATAATACATATTAAAAACATAATTCAAATAAAATTGCAATAGTTTAAACTTGATTGAATTATTTAAGTTTTAGGAGATTAATAGTAAATATAACTGATACTTTTTTTATGAAGCAAATAATAATATATTAAATAATAATAATAATAATAATAATAAATTTAGATATATAAAAATAAAAAAATAATAAAAAAATAATAAAAATGATTAAAAAAAAATTAAAAAATATATAAAAATAAACATAAAAAAAATATAAAAAAATAATAATATATATAAAATAAAATAAAATAAAAATATAAAAATAAATATAAAAAAATGTTTATAGAAAAAAAAAACAAAAAGCAATATATAAAAATAAATAAAAAATAATAAAAAACAATATATAAAAATGAATGAAAATAAATAAAATCTTTATTCTGCTTTGTAATGACTAGCATTGTAAGAAGAAGGTGGTGGAGATAGAATATTTGAAGATGTTGAGGGTGTAGACAGAATATTTAAAGATATAGAAAGTGTAGGCAGAACAATTGAAAATATAGAGAAAGTAGATAGAATATTTTGAGTAGTTGCAAGAGGTTAGTGAATCATTAAAAATAAAATCAGAATAATGCAAATCATGAAAGGAGTCAGAAGCAGAAACCTCAACTAAGGCAATTTTCAAACATTTGCTCTTTTTATTAAAGCATGCTGGATGAACAGCTCTTCAATCCTAGCTACTTGACACTACATAGGTTGTTCGTCTCTGATAAGAGATTTTTCATCATTAGTAGCCAGAAGGCAGAAGTCATTGCCAACTATTAGCTTTTTCTTATTAAAATTAAATATTATAAAGTTAATTAAACATATTTAAATTAATAAATTATAATTAATTATAAATTATTTACAATATTTTTATTTAAACAATTATTTGTTATATTGTCACTTATATTAAGCTTTTCATAATACTCTCTAAGCAAAATCTGGTATACTGTAACAGTAAATTCCAGTTGTATATTAGTTAGAGCACTAGTTAGCCATGACTTTACAAGAATTTGATTAAATAAATTTTTGCTAAATTATCTGAATCTATTGGATAAAAAAGTTTATAGTAATAGCTTTTTGTTTTAGAAGACTGTTTCTATACCAATATAACTTGCGGTAAAGCTTTTAAATTAATGCAATTAAGCATTAACTTTCTAAAAATGGCAAAAATGGATTCTTTTATTATAGAAGAAATTTGACTTCTATATAAATAATGCTGGTCAAGTAGCTAATTATATTAATATAATTTAAAATAAATTAAATAAATTCGAATTAGTGCAAATATATATATATTTTTTTTTAATGTTAAAGGTGAGACTATGCTCTTATCTTTATTAAACTTAATGAAAACTTTTTACATGATTGGAAA